GAGTTTCTTTTACCAGATTTTCAGATAAGATGGTTAACCATCTTGACATCATTTATCGTAAGAATCATTGAAAACCCCTTTGAGTTATTCAGCTTAAAAAGAACAGGTTAAAATTGTTTTCTCTCTTCCCAACTGAGTAATGATGCGAAGAAAAAGATCATTTAGGCCTTCAGTAATGGTACCAGCATTCATACTATGACTTTTATCTTCAAAATTAATTAAAGAACGATCAAGAGAACGGTGAATAAGTTTAAAAAAGAGGGAACAGTAGAGCGGAGAATTGGATGAGAAGGTCACAAGAAGAGGGGGTCACCATCAATTAGAAAAGATCCAACTCTATCCTGAAGAGGTTTGGCACGTGAACAAGGGGTTTTACCTATGACAGTCCAAAGAGTAGTGAAAAATATTTGAAAATGAAATTGTACGTTAACCCTGTGACGCACCTTGTTACACCAGGATAGAAAGTTAGAAGGTTAGAGAGGGCGAAGATCATCTTGAATCAGTTGGAAAATGATCCTGGAATAATATATATATATATATATTTGAAGTTTATTTCAATCTTTCATGAGCTTTCGATCCTTAGCTATGATTAATTAATAAGGAACATGTCATTTTCATTTATGATCGATTTCATCACGATATTTCTGTTAAGCTCAGAAAGTAATTATATACTCTTTTGGCTCAAAGTATAATCCATTGGCGTTATCAAAAACCTCGAAGAATTCCAGTAAGATATCTTTATTTGGAAATTTTATTTCGGATATATATATATATATATATATATATATATATATATATATATATATATATATATATATATATATATATCTGAACAACCTAACAAGTAGATTCCAATGTATCTTTTGAATTATTTTATTGCTTGCTGTTTCTGCTTTAACTCATAAAAGGCAGCGACAAAATTTCGTAGTGCATTAATTCTTCACGCACTTGAAATTCTGTTATAGTCTACAGGTAACTCTTTCTTTCAAACACATACAAATACCTACCTTTCAGGTATATCAATAAATCTGGAGCCCCAGAATGCAAGAGGCCGTTTATTTTGTGTAACAAATAAGGATTTGTCAGCACAAAATTTCCATGTTGTCAATGCGTTTAAATCAACTAAGAATATTAGTCAGATGACCATTACACAGTCAAATATTCATATAAAAATTGAAAATGATTATATATCACGCTGAGGACACAGATCTATTCTTGTGTTTTTTTATCATATATAATTTCTTTTATAATAACGTACGAAAGCAGAAAGCTTTTGGAAAATTATGTTCAAACTCTAATCAGAAAACAAAAAAAAAATGTCCGAACATCAGAACATTAAAAAAAAATATATTGCTTCTAAAAAATCACTCTTTCTAGCTCGTACATATCAAATGACCAGCCGTCCTGGGTATGACGATAAACTACATTCGCGTCCAGGATAACACAATAAACTACGTCCAACAGCAAGGCCTCTGATCAGGAGGCTTTGAGGAGCGTGGAACCTCCTCTTAAGTGCTGGTTTTCCCAGGTCCACCCTGACCCGGGGTGGTAGCACCTGTTAGGGTCCCAGCTATGGGCAAATAGTTAACCCGGAAAGCTAAAAAGCATTATAAATGTGTAAAAATGGGTTTTAATACAAGAATTTTTTTGAAAAATATTACCATCAATACGTTTTTGAAAAAAAAAATATTACCAGCAATATGTTTTTGAAAAAATAATATTATCAGCTAAATGTTTTTGAAAAAACAATATTACCAGCTATATGTTTTTGAAAAAATAATATTACCAGCTATATGTTTTTGAAAAAATAATATTAACAGAAATAAATTTTTGACAAAACAAAAATATTACCAGGAAAAAAAAGTTGGCATTAAATAACACATTGAGGTTGATATGCCGTAAAACAAAACAAACAAATCAAATGGCCAGTTTATTTTTTAACATTTAATTTTTTCGTTTATCTTGACATCAGTTGCATTCTATAGATATATGGCTATACAGATCCAAAGTTATATACCTACCAGCTAAATTGTTCCCCAGATTTTGAAACATTTATACTTTTGAATGAAATATTCATAGAAATCAACTACAGTATCTCTTGTGTATTTTATTAGGTTGGTGCAAAAATAATGACGTAATAATGTCGTTTTTTGATGTGTTTTTTAACGTCAAAAAACGACATTATTACGTCATTATTTTTGCACCAACCTAATATCTTCGTTTTAATATTTTTTTCACAAGATTTTACCGTGTTTATGCGCTGAAAACGTTTCCAGATTTGATGAGCTCAAAATTTTGTAAAAATTCTCTGAAATAATGAACATCCAAAACTAAAACACTTTTCATGTTTTTCTTTTTTTAACTTTAAAAGCAATTATTTTTCTTCTTGAATATTAAATATTAATGTTAACTCTTTGTCAAAATAGTGCCTATGCGTTCTTTGCAGATGTGGAACATTTTTCCTTTACTTACATAGAAAAGATCGAATATGGTTGACAAAAAGTAGGCATATTTTGACATTCTAACTTTAATACTAGTTCACTGTAGGAGTCTGGGCTTTTAGACGATGGTGCCTTCTGCGTGAACACTCAAATATGGTGAAAGAATCTAGTTTAAGCTTCTTTAATGTCAGACGCACAATGAGAGATGATAGATTTGGGTCCTTTAGCTAGTTCAACAGTAAAACGGCGAGGCGTAGTTGCCAATCGAGTAACACACTTAAAGTCATGCAATTGCTGCTCTCAGGAGGAAAGCTCATCAGAACAATTGCCATGAAAATATTTGTAGAAATAGACAGAGGGAAGCCACGTTTCTTATTTGATCTTCCTCAAGAATTTCGAGATATATGTTAAGAATACCAGACTAGATGAATGATCAATTTGTAAATGGGCTAGATAGATTCTGACGAGAAAAATTGTATGGCACGACATCGCAAACCAACGTTCCTCGTAATTGATTCAATATAATCAAACGCTTCATGTTAGTGGAAAAAGTGAGTCGAAGAAGGTGCAAAAAGTTGCTCCCTTGTAGGTTAGCATCAGCCATGCTGATAGCAGGCGGAAAATGTGGTTTATGGCAATTAAATTAAAGCAGCTTTGTTTTGGAGGCGTTAAAGCCATTCATTGCCTCAGTGAACCACTGATTGGAGGACCTTTTCGAGAGAAGTTGCCAGTTTTACGTTGCTGAACTTGATGTTACTAGAACAGGAGGAAATAGTTGAGTCTTCTGCATAAATACCCCCCTCTAGGAACAGGTAACACGCTGAATGCCATTGAAGAAGATAAGTAACAACGTATATCTAAGAATATAGGCCTGGGTGGATTACCGCATTAACGTGAAATTAACTCGATGCGTGTCCGTTCAACACTATTTCATTGCAGGATTTGTTAGATTGATTGATGATAGGAGGGACTGAGAATTTGCTGTCGTTTAGTGCACTCTTACAGAGATGCCATGAATTACGAGAAGCTACACAGTGTCTTGTTTAATCAGCGAATAATGTCGCTTTTTTGAGGACACGCTTACACTCATTATGAACTGTAACAGAGACATCTGTTAAAATCTGACCTATCGCGGTGGTATAACCGGAAGAAGCAATTCCTGTTGGCTATACCGGAACCGAGGAAAAAATGCCTCATTTGCACATTTATGAACAGGATGATTCCAAGAGAGATCGCAAAGAAAATTAGGAGTTCACTTACGTTCAGATATAAGAGTTTTTCAGGCAAGCATTGCTTTCATCATCAGCTGAAGTTCATCTTGCAATAACTGGTAATGAGAGAGTAGCACATTGATACCTCCCATGATTTGTGAAGTCTTTAAGTGTTTTGTCCAGAGCTTGTGTGCCATGGTTCATTAACCCCAGACAATGAAGCTTTTCTCCTCAAGAATCTTGGGCAAATTGATTCTTTTAATGTTGCAATTAGGGTTTTCACTATAGTTCAAATCCAATGGAAGAGTGCAGGTTCTGTGTAGGCTCTCCAGAAAAGAGTGTAGCAGCAATTCCAGATGATGCTACTGCAAGAGTTATTTTCTTTGGAGTCTCAATGCAGATAAAAGAAGTTTATTTACAAAATTTTTACCAGTACCTTCAGGTACATCCAAGAAGAAAATCCAATTATTGTTGTTGCCGATGTAATCAAGGACCTCATATACTTGCTGTTGGTCTTGGTTCAACAGGAAGGAGCTCATTGTTTTGAACACATTGCCACAGTTCTTCCATGTTATATTCTGTTTCTCTCAATATTTCTCTGTTGGTTTGTCTGGTTTCTCTGTTTACATTCGGCAGAACAAAATTGCTGGCATCTCTTTGAGGCAAGTTCATCACTTTGTCTTCAGTTTCACAGAGAGCTAAATTTGCAAGCTGGGTATACAATTCCAGCACTAGATGAGAAATCTCATTTGAAGAAGATGAGATATTTAAAAGTTAGGGAGTTGTGTCCCTTTTAATTGAAAAAGTGTGACACACATATTTTCTCATTTGTTATATAGATATACATACATGCATAAAGGGTGTATGAAAAATACTTTGGGGGCGGGTTCCTCACACTAAAACAAGCACAAAAGTCCACATAAACATGTGTCTGAAAAATTTTTTGAGTTATCGTTCTTTCAGGAAAAAATACATTTATTTCATATTAACAATAATTTACATTATCTAGATTGATCGTGTTTCACGTTAAACCAGGTCATCTACGAAATGAAAGTAACACTTTCAAAACTGTATTATTTACTTCCGTCGGATTTTCATCCAATTTATTGTTTTAGTTTAGAAGATGATACATGTCTACCTGCAAATTGTCTCTGTCAGCCTGTACGTCTGCCTGCCTGATTGTTGTCTCTGACTGACTGCACGTCTGCCTGCATTGCTTGCTTGTCTATGGCTGACTGAACAACTACCTGCCTTCTTTGCTTGTCTTTGACTGACTGAACGTCTGCTTGTTGTGTTTGCTTGTCTCTGGCTGACTGCACGTCTGCCTGCGTTGCTTGTTGTCTCCCAG